ACAAGCCCCTATAGATCTGAAGGCAACTCCAAGAAGAAAGTTGTGAGGTAATCCCCCATCTCCAGGGCAAGTCCTTACAGCTGGAGGTGTGTATAGGCAGAAGGCAGCGACACTGCAAATAGGAAGCAGAGTGGTAATGAGGAGCAGATGTGTAGGTGCTTGGAGCACCCAGGTGTTACAGAAGTGCTAAGTGTTATTATCATGGCCAGGAAACAGGCTGTGAAAACTCACTACACTCCACATCCCTGCACTGGGCCTGCTCCAGGAGCTAGGACCAGACATTCATCAACAGACACAGGAAAACTAGAGTCAGTTTTCCTGTGAAAACTGTGCAGGTGAAGATACCTGGAGGTGTCTTCAGCTGCATCCAAGCTGGGTACACCTGGATTCAGAGGGRCTGCATGGAAATGAGACAAGCAGAGAGAGAAATCTCAAGAAGAGAATGAGTTCTGGTCCTTCCGTGGCCAAGAAGGCCCAGAACTCCATCCCAGTATGAAGCTGTGTCACAACTCATACATTTCCAAAAGATGTTCCACTATTCAGGGCTCACTTGGTAGCCACCCTACCTCGAAACACCCTTCTCATGCCTGGACATCTGTTTCTTGGGAGAGGAAAGCACTGAGCTTGTTCCTGGTCCATCCTGCACCTCCTTCCAGGATGCTTCCATGATGCTTGGGTAACTGTGGATTGCACAAGGACCATGGCCAGGGCCCTGATGGCATCAGTCCGGGTGCAGGGCAGTGCTGAGCCCTCTCCATCAGCAGAATGAGACCTGGTGTCCCATGGAATGAGCCAGTTAGATGTGGACTAGCTGTGTGAGAGCAGAAATACGGGATCTCCCACTGAGCCCCGGAGCATCCCTGGTTCTGGCTATAAACCTCCTTCCAAAGAGGATCTTTACAGAGTGTGGCCAAGATGCCCCACAAGCTGCAGCCATCCCCCGCCCCCTCCCCGAGAGGAATTGCTCTCACACAAATGAAATGTGTGTAATTAATGGGCAGGGGGCTGGACAGGTCCGAGATGAAAGCGTTTCCTGGACTTGTCCTTCATTTGCATGGTATCAGAAGCTGTTCAGAAGGTGTGACTTTTCCCACAGGGAGCCCTCAGCTCGGTGGCACAATAAAGCCAGGACTTCTTACCCAGAATTAATTAAAGGAGGGGGGTGGGGATGGGGATGGCAGGGAGATGTTTGAAAGCTGAGCCCCATGCAATAAACAAACACCCTGGTCCTTCTTCCCGAGCCAGGGCAGGCCCATGGGGGCCTTGTTGAGCCCAGGTCCCACTGTGGCACTTTGTAGCCCACCCTGCTCCATGGGTGCCTTCCTCGCATGGGAGAGTCCCTGTGTGCTGGTGGCAGTGAAGACCAGCAGGGCTTGYTTCTTAAGGGGTAGAAGCTGTGTCCCTGAAAGCCTGGGGCTCAGTGCCCTCCAAGTCCTGCATGCCCAGGAAAGGGCACGCACTGCTCTTTGAGGCTCAGCACCAGGCAGTCAGCCAGGAGCACGCAGCCAGGGAAGCTGTGCCTCCTCCTCCTCCATCTACTAACTCTCTCCAGGCAGCTGGTGACAATGGTGGGACTGTGGGCTGACACTTTGAGAGGTGGCAGGAGGGACAAGCACTTCCCTGTCACAAGGAATTTGCCAGTTCCAATTGCATCCCCATCACTCYGCTGGCTCCCCCATGTCAACTTCCCAAACTCTTCTGGAGGGGATACCTGGGAAGCTGGGCAGTTCCTCCCACCTCTCACCGCTCAGGAGCAGGAATTTCTCCCCAAAGCACCCATGCTAAAAGCATGAGCCAAGGGGAGGAAATGTCCACCTCCAGAGCCTCCTTTCCCTAGTGCTTTCCAGAGTCCAGCCCTTGCATGGTGCCTACGGCCCTACTGCTTTCAGGATTTTTAAGCTTGGTCTGCACACACACCTCCTGGTGAGGAAGGACGCAGGAAGCATCTCCAGCCCCTGATGCTGGTGAGAGCTGATGCTCAACCCCATTCATTCAACCAATGGCCAGGCAGGCATGCGGGAACAGTCAGACACATCCAAGATTGTCCCCATCTCTGCAGGCGTAGTTATTGCTGCAGCACGAGTGTTTTATGTACCCCGCAGGACCCAGGCCACCAGGASGGGTGCAAGCTGTGCCAGCCAAGCCAGGTACCCAGCAGCATCAGCGCAGGGTATGAGGAGCCATTAATTAATTCACCTACTCATTAACTAAGTAGCAGCAGACTCTTTAATCTTCCAAGCAAAGGCAAAGCAGCAGTTGCTGGCTGGAAGCTGGGGCTAGGCAGGTTCCAGGAACAAACAAAGGCCCAAACTGTAGTGTTCCTGAGTAGCCTTCTAGGGCAGAGAGGCTAATTAGCCATRGGAGGGACTTACCTGGAGCCAAGCCTGGCCAAACCAGTGGTCAGCATGGGGTGCAGCTCAGCAATGGGGACACACGCCATGTCTGGTCCTGGGCTTGAGCTCTGCTGTCATCCCAGCCTGAGATGCTGGTGGTGCAAGGGCTGCCTGGTGGCCTGGAGACCAGCCTGGCCTGGGACAGAGCACCCCTGGGGACAGGGACATCTACTGACCCGTGTGGAGTCAGTCCCACCACCCATAGCTAGAGCAGCAGCTCAGCACCCATTCAGCCAGGTTTCATGGAGCCGTTAGGAAAAGCAATTAGACAAATTAATGAACAATAAGCACCCATTAAGGCCTATCAACACTATCTCTGAGCTGGGAAGAGCCAGGAGCCATTCACTTTTATTCCCTGCAGCCTGGAGACTCCAACATGGGCTTGTCCAGGGCTGTGGGCTCCGGGCGTCTCTGGCCCATGGGTCACTTAAAGGACAACCAGGCAAGAACCCTCCACCTTAGCAGAGATGTGCTGTGGTGTGAGCATCACCTATAGCTGCCCYGGGACATCTGTGAGGCCTAGGAGCCAGCCCCTGGGGTTTCCTTCCCAAAATTAAGGATATATAGAGTCTGCTTAGCCCAGATCATGACATGTAAGGAGCATATCCTTCCAAATTATCCCAGGAATGGCTTTATCTCAAGATCAAGATGAGTCCCTGCCTCAATCATCCTGGGCCACAGACACACCAGGATGGGGCAATGCCCGTGGGGCTGGTGAGCCTCTATAGCAATTCTGTGGTTGCACCCTTCCATATCTGGCTAACACCACCACCTGCCTTCTCTGCTCCAGCACCACTTTGGGGACCAACAGTTGGGTGACCCAGAAAGGGGACAATGTGATCCCTGTGTTGAGGAGGAAGGCAAATTCCCCTGCAGGCTCCTCAGAGCAAGACCCAGGACCAGAGGTGGGGACCAGCAGCCTGCTTGGTTAACACAGCCCCAAAGGCTGCAGAAAAGCTCCTCTAGGCTGGAGGGGAGCAGAAATAGCATCTGGGGGGGAGGAAAAGCCCCTCTGACACCTAAAATACTGGCCCAGATCAATGTTTTGTCTCTGTTACAATCCATCCCAGCTCAGCCTGGAAGGTGATGATCCCCAAAGGGCAGGGAGGATGTGTCTACCCCTTAAAGGGAGATTTCCCTGCAAGGAAAATAAATAAAAAGACATGATTTCCACCAGAAYCAGCTGGACCTGCATCCCCTCTCTTCCCATTTGGGCCCCTTCCTGCACCCTCTTCAGCCTTGCCATCCCTGGAAAGCAGGCAGGCTTGCAGAGACCAATACAAAATTTTAATGCACATATTAAATAAATATTCCATTCATTTAATATTAAATTTGTACACAATCAAAAAAAAAAAAAAAAAACCAAAAACCTCAAGGAAACAAACAGAAAACAAACAATCAGAAAGGTTGGATGAGAAGTTTCCCTGGTCCTGGCTAATATCCAGTGTCTGTGTCTGCCCTCCCCAGTCAGAACAGCAGCTTTAACCCTGCGGAGTGATGGAGGTCCAGGACAGTGTGTCCAGAGCCAGGGTGATTGGGCACGTGCATGCAGAAAATTTGATTTTTCCTTTTTTTTTTTTTTTTTGTTTTTGTACAATAGAAAACTTGGCTTCTGTCAACGCAAAAGTCTTTAAAGAAAATGACCCCTTTCCTAGGGGGAAGCCAGGCAGCATTTCTTGGAGAGCAAACCTGAGACAGCTAAAAACCGAAGTGTCAGCCATGATACGAGCTGAGTATTATCAAGAAAAAAAAAAAAAAAAAAAGGAACTGAATGTCTCCAAAGTGATTTTTTGACATTTTTTTTTCT